GGCTGGGAAGGGATGTGAAGGGTAAACCAAAGGAAGAGGCTGCAATGCTTGGTAAGAAATGTACGCATTATCCTGCCCATGTAATTGTAACCCCTTTGTACAGTATGTTCACAAATAAAATAAAATTAAAAAAAAAAGAAAAAGAAAACTGGGATCAAAGATGGTAAATACGTAGATGTTCCAAATGAAAGACAGAAGGGTGCTCTCTCCTTATAGCAAGCTCTCTGAATAATACCAATAACCTTAAGAAGAGAAACAATAACTTTAACAACTACACAAGTGGGAAAATGCTTTTTATAATTTAGCATGGCTCCCAGGGTTATTAACTAGAACTCAAAGTACTTTCACTACCATGTTCTTTATTCTCTCTTTTTTCTGGCTTCAAAAGACCAACACTTATTTGTGATAGTCAGTCAGAGAACTCAATAAAACCTATTACAAGGCATGTGTTATCACATGCTGAGAATACCAACTACTCAGGAAATGGAGGCAGGAAGATCATGAGTTCAAGGTCAGCCTAGATAAAGTTACTGAGCCCCTATCTCATAAACAAAACACAAATAAAAGGGGTAGGCACATGCTCAAGAGGTAGAGCACTTGCTTAGGATGTGGAAAGCCTGGAGTTTAATCTTCCATACTGTAAATGGACACTAGTTATTTCTATCCTGGAATAACCCTCAAATATTTTCTTCATTATTGTTTAATTAATAGAAGATATGGAAAAATTCTATCATTAAGGAAGAAATGGGGGACAAAGTGATTCAGATGAAGCCAAAATAAATTGGTGACAAAAATACCAAAATTCAGATGCTTCCACTCTAAGTTCAAGTGTTTTTCAGCATGCACAGCCATTCAAATGTCATTCCTTTTTAAAAGTTCTATTAACAAAGAAACTTTCAGGCTGGGAAGCAGCTTAGAGGAAGAGTGCTTGCCTAGCTAGCATGCATGCAGCCCTGGGTTCTATTCCTCAGTACCACATAAACAGAAAAGGCCAAAAGTGGCACTCTGGCTCAAGTGGTAGTGCTAGTCTTGAGCAAAAGAAGCTCAGGGACAGAGCCCAGGCACTGAGTTCAAGCCCCAGGACTGGCCAAAAAAAAAAAAAAAAAAGAGAGAGAGACTTTTTAGAAGTATTTCTATGTAAGAAGTAATAGAGTATCCCAAACTGGAGATGTATGTTCTCTTTCTACATGGCATAAAAAGTCATATTACAAATAAACAGAACATATTACAAATAGACATAAAAAGTCATGTTACAAATAAACATTAAAAAGACATATTATAAATAAACAAAACAGCCCTAGCAGGAAAGTCCTTGAGAGTCTGATCTCCAATAAACTACCAAAAAAAGCAGGGAGTGGAACTGTGGCTCAAGTAGAATGCTAGCCTTGAGCCAATTAAGAAGCTTAGTAACAACCCTAGCCATTGAGTTTAAGCTCCCCAAAATAAGAACCAACAGACAAACAAACAGAACTGGACAGTGTTTATTTTACATTATGCTTAGATAAAATCCCAACTTACCATATCTGTGCTAAGACAGGCTGAGGTAACCCAGATTGAAAAAAAAAGTTTCTTGCTTGATCACCTATAAATTAAGTAGAAGTAGTTTCAGGTTAAAATACAATGGCTGGCAGAAATACCCATTGCAAAATTATGAAATTAAGAAGAAGCTTCTGATCCTTTAAATACTAAACTGACTGAAACTGCACGGGTAAAAGTCAAATGGTGACCCTTTAAGCAATAGTAAAATCAATCTATATGCATGAGCTTCAGAACTTAATTTTTAAAATAAATCATCTCAAAAAGGACATACTGCTTTTCTGGGACAGATTGTCCACTTTAACCTACTATTAAATAAAAAATTACCTATTTGTCATGACTGCCATGGTTTGGATCTGGAACGCTGCCTAAGGTCCCTACGTTAAAAGCTTGGTCCCAGCTTAGTGCTATGGAAAGAAGTTAAACCCTTTAGGCAGTAGGTCACTGGGCCAAAACTAAAGGCCCAAAGTAATGGGACCTATCATTCTTGAACTCAAACCTCCAAAATTGAGCCAAAACAAACCTAACACAATGACAAACATGCATTCAGAAATGCTAAGGATCCCCCAAATATGATAACCCATATTCTACTTAGTGGGGGAAAAACCCTCAGTTGGGTGTCTCAAACCCTGTACTTAGGAGGCAGAGGCAGGAAGATTGCAGGTTTGAGTCCAGCCTAGGCTATATAGTTAAAGTGTCTCAATTAAAAAAAAAAAAAGTTCTTTGCCACTCCCAATACTTATAGTCCAAATTTTGGTACTGCTGATGTATTCACAGAAAATGAGTAACAATGATCATATCATGATTAAGAATTAATAAATTAAAGAACTATAGTACAAACACATATAAAAACATTTCCCTAGGAAATCCAGATTTATCCTAAAGAGTAATCAAACAGGAAAGATAATAAAAAGGCAAAGTGCAAAACAGAACATTGATTGGAGAGGAAAATAATACCCTATTTGAAAAATGTTACAGTCTTCCAAATCAGTTCAGGATCAGAATCAAGCAATCATTTTATCTAAGGCCACAATCTCAACCTACCTAAACAATGTGGTCCTTTGACCATAACCAGTTCCATTCAGTGATAAGCCACAAACCCTGGCTTGACATTGACAAGGGACTGCAAAAAGGTTTGAAGGTTATAAGAAAGGCTATGGTAAAATAAAGGCTCAAGTTAAGACAAAATAGGAGAAAAATGTCCCTTTGTTATATCTGCCCACTTCTACTTTACATAACAGATTCCCACAGATACATGCAGATATATGTTAAATAAGAATGAGAAAATGTTGACTGTTATTACCAGTGATAAATCCAGATATTGGCTTTAAACTATGGAACTGCTGATCATGCTTTGCTCTTTCCTCTACAGTTATGGCCCAGATATCCAGGCTACCTACAGTCCAAAGAAAAGACACATAAGTTATTCAGTGAGAAAAGCAAGAGGCTCACACACTCAATTTCCATAGCACCTTAAGTTGCCACCAATAGGTTATAAATGGTTTGATGAATTAACATTCTTCTCCTTGGAAAATCAAGAGAAAAGCAAATAAAAAATATTGGCACAAATTCCTTCTTAGAAACATGTGCCATAAACCTACAGTTAGGCTTAAATGAAAAAATAGTATGTTAATCATTTATTTATATAAACTGAAGCAATAGACAAGTTAAACTTAAAACTGCATTCTCAGATATATTAAATATCACAGATAAAAGTTATGTAAAAGGAAGATGGTGGCAAAAAAAAGTCAATCCTCACATTTAGGATCCTGTGTGCCAGGAACATATTTTTTGAGATGATACAAATATATGAATATCAACATTGAAAAATTATGGTGCTAAGTTCACAATTGTTTTTTTGTTTTTTTGGGTTTTTTTTGGTGGTCATGGAGCTTGAACTCTGGACCTGGGCACTGTCCCTCAGCTCTTCAGCTTAAGGCTAGCGCTCTGCCACTTGAGCCAGAGCGTCACTTCAGGCCTTTTCTGTATATGTGGTGCTGAGGAATCAAACCCAGGGCCTCATGCATGCAAGGCAAGCACTCTACCACTGAGTCACCTTCCCAGCCCAAGTTCACAATTTTATAAATTCACAAAAAGAGTTTAGCTAAAACCAGTAAGTTTTATGATATGTAAATATAGTTCATTAAATCTATTTTTTTAATGAGTATTCTGTCTGGGGGCTAGTAGCTCACACCTGTAATCCTAGCTATTCAAGAGATTGAGATCTAAGAATTGTGATTCAAAGCCAGCCTAAGCAGAAAAGTCTATGAGACTCTTATCTGAAATTTACCACCAAAAAGCTGGAAGTAGAGGTGTGCTTCAAGTGTTAAAACCCCAGCCTTGAGTGAAAAAGCCAAGCAAGAGTGCAAGGCCCTGCCTGAGTTTATGCTGCAATAAGAGTGGGCTGGGAAGGTGGCTCAGTGGTAGAGTGCTTATCTTGCATGCATGAGGCCCTGGGTTCAATTCCTCAGTACCACATAAGCAGATAAAAAGCCAGAAGTGGTTCTGTGGCTCAAGTGGTGGAATGCTAGCCTTGAGCTGAATTGCTGAGGGACAGAGCCCAGGCCCAGAGTTCAGACCCCATGACTGACCAAAAAAAAATTAAAAAATAAAAACAAAAAAACCCAAAGACTATTTAAAGGCTATCAGGGAATGTGTATATAATGTACAATTTTTAAGTATAATAATGTAGATTTTTAGATGTTTGACAATATTGTTAATTATTTAGAATGTTCTTGCCCTTTTAGCTAAATATATTAAAATATAGATGGATTGATAGGGTACTTCAGTGCTGTCCAAAAGAATCTAGACGAAACAATATTGGCCATGAGCTAATAACACTGGCCAGATGACAGAGTACATGAGAATCAGGCAAGCACTCTACCTCTGTGCTATACTCAAAACCCCTGTAACTGTTTTTTGTACATAAAATTTCCATCTTATAAAATTTTTTAAATCTGGCCCCAATATACATCAAAAAAAGAGAAATTTCTGAAAACTTACCACCAAAAGGTGTGGGAAACTGAGCCATGGTTCTGTTACTTGTACCTTGCTAATCGACGCCTGTAAAAAAAAAAAAAAAAAGCAACACTTAAGTTGTATACTTACAGACATACTAACATGCAGTCTTAAATGATCAGAAAGCAACACAAGAGCAAGATTATATTAGAGCTACAATGAGGGGGTAATTCATTCATTCTTTTTATAGATTCTCAATGTCATATGTGCTCCAGTGAATGCTGAGGAAGGACTTAGAACAAGTATCAGAGCTCCATGCAGCCTATTACATTTCCAGTATGGCATTTGTTGTTGGTTTTTTAATCTTTCATTGTACAAAGGATTTGCCATTCAACAAAAGTTTATGAATACAACGTCACCCCTTCCAGCATTCTCTCCATCTCTCCCCTCAATTTTATTTTGTAGAATATCCATTGAACTTTATGACTCTTCCCCACCTTCCTCTCTTCATTCATTTGCTGTCCCCCCCAATTGTTACTTTCTAAACTTTTTCTTAACTGTGTACATACATCAGTTCTATCTTTTTAGTAGTTATAACCACTTCTTTTTATTAAGCCCTTAGTATTACACTATACATTTTACTAGGTAATTTACAGGTCTCACCTTCTTGCAACATCATAACAGTGCCAAGAAATAGGGCTTTTCCTATGTCTATTACCACTGCACACAACAAATGAGAAAGAAGAGAATCAGAGGGAAGAGGGAAGAGCAGGAGCAGCTTACTCTAGGCTGTCCACCTAGGAAAAGCATTGCCTGCAGTTCCTTGAAGACTATGAGAATAGTGTGAACAATGCGTAATACAATAATACTGTTCAAATACCAAACCCAAACCTACTGCTTCTGAAATTCCCATCAGGCACTATTTTTTCATTAATATCCACCATGAAACAAAGCCAGTCCTCTTCCTCAACTATAAACATCTAGAATTGATGAATACATTTCCTTATGCTTAGCTTAACTGCATCATCGTAAATGTACATACATTATGGTTTAAAAAGAGCATTGGCCAAGTTCAATGCCTTACTCTTACAATATCAGCTGCTTGGGTGGCAGAGACCAGGATTGTGGGTTGAAGCCAATGAAGGAACTGTAATTGCAGCTGTGGACCTAGCAGTATCCTTCTTCTATGAAGTTCTTAATGGATGCTTGAACTTGTGAGCATTTTGTTCTGTGTATGTGTGTGTGTGTGTGTGTGTGTGTGTGTGTGTGTGCGTGTGCGTGTGCGTGTTATATTATTTGGTTCTTTCTGGTTCCTTTCTGTTTGTTGACTGGTTGACTGCTGCTTTGGTTGTCCTTCACTTTTGAGATTTTCCTCCTGACCCAAGGATGCCTGAATGCTCAGTTAACAGAGAGGCTTCTCTGTATGAGGATGAGGTATACTATCGCCTTTTCACTGGCAACCTCCAAATCTCAATATTCAGAAGCTGTTCATTTTGGCTAGAAAGAGGTGTTGGCTGGGGAAAGAAGAATATATAGTCTAGATGCTGGTTTGGGAATAAGAGTAAGGTTGCCACACTTCTGTGGACCAACTTGTAGATGACCCCTGATTTTCAGCCCTACCCTCTCTATCCAGGAGCTTCTCTGGTTCCAGTGCTCTTTCCACCTCTCCCAAGAAAAGGAGAGAAGGAAATGGACATCAGTCTGCTGGAGGTGCAGGAAAGGATGGTCCAAAGAGCTGGATGGAGACTTTTAAAGACTTTGAGCTGCTGTCTGTGGGAATACCTCACATGGAAGCCTCTCGAGACATCACTGGGATGAGCCCCCTGAAGGCCCTATGCTGTCCTCTACGTATCTTCCTCTGTGAACCAACCCAACTCAACATTCTTCCATTTCTTTACTGTTTGCAAAAAAATGGTTAAATCTTTTGTCACTATCTGCTCTACTACTGTCCTCTTTATGAGATGCCATCTGTTTAGTTATTCTATAATACAGCAATCTTTAGGGAAGCATAGAAAACACACATGATGAAGACGCCATGTGTAGGCAGAGGTGTGGGAACCTAGGTTAGAAGTGGAGGACTTCTAGGCCAATTCCCTTTGGAAGCTGCACTTACTGCTCTGTCCCTCCCCTCATCTTTCTCAGAATATCAGGTAGCAAGCTTGAAATGCTTCTAAAACCTTTAGTACAGCTTCTCTCACTTATTCTTTTGAAGCTGACATATCATACACCTTTTAATTGAACTTTCCAAAAATGGACAGTTCTGAATTTTTAATGCACAGTAAAACAAATATTTAATATACATAAGAGAATGCATCCATTTTGTCCTTCCATTCTTCACTGTTTATTGTAAAATATGGAAGAGTTATTGATTTCTTTGTACTTAGCCACTTTCCACTTTACCACACCTTTTTTTTTGGGGGGGGGTCGGTCATGGAGCTTGAACTTAAAGCCTGGGTACTGTCCCTGAGTTTTTCAGTCAAGACTAGCACTACCACTTTAAGCCATAGCACCACTTCTGGTTCTCTAGTGGTTAATTGGAGGTAAGAGCCTCTTAACTCTTAACCATGATCCTAAGATCTCAGCCACCTGAGTAGCTGGGATTAGAAACGTGAGCCACCAGCACCAGTCAAAAATCACTACACCTTACTGGTGGCTAATCAACTTGTACATCTATCTTCTGGAAATACAGAATTTAGCCTTATATTATTATCCCATCCCAAAATACCATTAGCTGTATAAAATAGTCATGATAAAACTAATTTTATATTACCTCTAATTTTCATAGTAATAGTTTCAGTATTTTGCACTTTAATAGGTTTGTACATTTAGATCGTTTCCTTCTATTTGTATTTTACTTAACATTTTTATTAAAGAATGGTTGCTAGTATTTCTTTTCTTTTTTGGGGGGGTAGGGTCGTGGGGCCTGAACTCTGGGCCTGGGAGCTGTCCTTCAGCTCTTCAGCTCAAGGCTAGCACTCTCCCACCACAGCACCACTTCTGGCTTTTTTTTTCTGCTTATGTGGTACTGAGGAATTGAACCCAGGGCCTCAGGCATGCAAGGCAAGCGTTCTACCACTGAGCAAGTGTCGGACCACTGAGCTACATCGCAACCCTAATATTCTGAGCACCAGTGATTACCTAATGTTAAATTATCCTAGAATTGTTGTACCTAATTCAATTTGTATATATTTTTCTTTTACTAGACAAGTAGTTTGTTAAAAATTCTTTAAAATTTTTAAGAAACTGCTATATATATTTCTATACAAGAAAGTAGCAACTTGAAAAAAAAGTCTACATTTTACCCCTTTATAAACTTTTAAAATAAAAACAATAGGGCTGGGAAGGTGGCTCAGTGGTAGAGCGCTTGTCTTGCATGCCTGAGGCCCTGGGTTCGATTCCTCAGCACCACATAAGCAAAAAGAAAAAAAAAGCAGGAAATGGCGCTGTGGCTCAAGTGGTAGAGCGC